AAGCTGACGCACAATTGAGAGATACACGGGGATTCACGTAACTTATATACCAGTGGTTCATAGCAGGGCTATCTCTTAGAGAGAAGAAATCCGTATCCGCCTTGGTCGCGGAGAGGAAATCAAGGGAGTGACACAGTTGCCGAGGTAGTATTTCACCACCGAAAGCGGACAATTGCAATCTTCACAGCCAAAGGAACCCGCCGGGGGCTGGATTCCTGCTGGACAGCCAACACACCACATTAAACTCACTCGGCACAGCCCAAAGTCTTTTTGCGAGATACAGGCGAAGCTTTTGCAACTTACGGATAGTTTAGAGCAGTAGCCGGACTAAGTGCTCAGAAAAAACAGCGTCCAGTCGTCAGCTAGCTTATTTGGAGACAACCTGGTACCGATGAAGAAAAAGAATTGAAGGTGGTACACTTTGGCTCTTCGGCCTACACTGTAGATTTAGCCTCAGCCTGAAGTTGCCATCATACCATTAATACTGGCTTTTCAAAGGGTCTCAGGGAATCATTGACTTGTCGACGTATTCTCCCCTACAAATGCATCGATGTTATTGCGAGAAGGATCAACTGAAGGAGACTGAAATCCTGTTTACACGTGGAAAGACACGCAGCGGGCACATAAAGTAAGAATACTTTGTCACGGGGTCAGTCGACCGACAGCCGGTGTGGTTTCTGAGGATCGCTTCCAGTAAGGGATTCCTGACGAATATCAACTAGCTTCTTTCGAGTCAGCAGTGGGAACTACACGCTCAGGCATGCAGAGAGCAATGGAAAACCTGGCCTCTCATAAGCTGTTAGAACATCCAACAGTAACAGCTTATGCTCGTGACAGAGCATCCAACAGTGTCACGTGCGTTCGAGGACTCAGTACTTGATATAATTTCCTTCCGGAACTAATTATTTTTCTGCCGCTCCCAACGTCCTTTCCTTAATGTGTGGTTCTCCCGGCGCTGCTCCCAGCAGAGCATTCACGCTTCATCATGCTTTGGCGTCAGGCCACCCTTTTGAGCTGGCCGAATGCCCAGCCTCATTTGCAGATTGACGTTGCGCACCCTATGCGATACAATTCACATTTTAAATCAGGCTTCCATGCCAACACAAAAACGCTGGCTCCTAGACCAGGCTCGAGGGACAGTGTGTTGTAATGGGTGGCGGCATCCCCGGACTGCCACAGCAATTTATGGCTAGCAGCAACAGCACTGAAAAATCCACAGCGTCTGCAGATTCCCCTCACGTGTCATATACCACCTTTTTTGCTTGGGAAGTTGGACCATCGCGCGTCTTCCTCACCTCGCTCCGCTGTCGCCGTCCCCTCTTGGGCCGTCAGGTGCAGGAATGCGTGGGCTGCTTGGGTGAGAGACGGGGCCACATATAGCATGGACTCAAACCAGTACCGGCAATTATTGTTGCGTGCAAGCCTGCCACCGAGGGCAAAGTAAGTGTTTAACAAGCGTCTTCAGTGTCAGGGCATGCGATATCATATCAGTTAGCAACGCTCCCATGTACATCAAGGAAACCGGCGAAACGTGCTGTTGTTCGCGACTACTGGTGACAATCTCATGTATCTGCTGAGCTTCTTTGCAGTTTCTTCTCTGCTATCTCTCCAAATAAACACTTTGCTCCTCTTGAATAGATCCGTTAGAGGGACGACGACTTGAGTAAATTCAGTGATAAAGTTGCAGTACTACGATGCGAGACCCAGGAACTTTTGGGTCTCCAATCGGCAGGGTTAGCAGATACGCCCGAACTGCCTACGTGTGTGTATGTGCGTGTGTATGTGTGTGTGTGTGTGTGTCTCAGCCGGATCGTCAGGCGCAGTACCTTCTTTTCTGGCGTCTGTCCGGATGAATTCGCTTTCTGCTTTTAGGTGCAGTACCTTCTTCCCTGGTCGCTGTCCTGATGAATTCGTTGTCTTCTAGATGCCCGAGATGAGCAGCGGCAAGAACAAGTATTTGAGTGAGTTGTGGTATTCGTGGAAAACCTAATGCTAAACTTTGCCGGGTGCACTTGCTATCCAGAATTCCATAGGGATGTACTCTGGTTTGCAAGTGTTGGTGTGAATAGCGAAGTGGCACCTATCTTCGGGATATATTACAGTTCGTAAAACTGTCGTTAGCCCAGTGATGAGTAGTTTGTCGGACACTGCAACGGGTCGTGCAGTTCGTGGATGTGCTGCACTGAAAACTTATTTCGCCGCGGTTTTGCTTAGCGACCTGCAACTGCCACATTTTCTTCTTCTGTCAGCAGTCCGAGTACATATATAGCTCATGGTAGAGTCTTTGAGCTCTTTTGGAGTCTCCCTATCCCTTTCTTATTGGGGGGCTGATCCCACTTTTCCCATTACACAGCATGCGAAGGCGTTTGGTGGTGAGAAGAGCACCGCTACAACCGCTTCCGGGTACATACATTTTGATGGAAACGTTATTCGCCCCCTCTACTGAGTGATCAACAGCATGCTCTCACTATGCTGGGGGAGGCGTATCCAGCGCACGACTTCCTTTTCAAGACACTAGCTCGCATCACTGAGTTGAGTCCGCATTTCAGACACTGCAGCTCATGACAATCCTAAGAAAGGATTGAGGATTTGTCCAGTAGCTACTGGAATCCAGGTTTCTTCGTATCTGCATATATGTAGCGGCAGGTGCAACTACTCTGATCCTCACAAACTATCCTTGCTTCAATCTTTTGCCTCCGTAAAGCATGCATTGGAGTATGCAAGGCTTATCCTCCAGGTAAGCCTCGCAACACAGTATCTCGACACTTGATCACAACAAGACACTTCCGTAGGCCGTGGGCAGCGTTACTTCCTTTCTTTGATATGTGTAGTTGTAGATCATAATCACATGAAAGATGTCTGTCACCGACTCAGCAGGGGAAAGCGTTCTCTGGTACAATAGCAACTGATGACAAGGCCGAGCGTGGGTGTTTTTTTCGGCAGAAAAGTAACAATAAAGCTCATATATCACATTCAGAAAAACTCATAACGGCCTCACATTACACTTAGTTGCAGGGAAAGAAGAAAAACATGTGGCCTGCCCTGGCAAGACAAACAAGCTGCCTCAGTTCACGGTCGTCGGACCCGTGGACCAAACTCCTCAGTCCGCTGCTGAATCAGTCCATATATCATATAGAAACATCAAAAGCAGAATTTTTTTTCGAATTGGTATTTTATGTGAACAACATCACTCCACAAACTCACCTCAATTAGAGCCGCTTCCCTGATCTGCGCCGCACTTTTCGTTCTCACCACTACCTGTCCCTTGCACTACAATATTTTGTAGCATTGCGTCCTGAGACCTGTCTCGCTTTAATATCGAAGCTCTCCGTCGTCTACCATACGCTCAGGAATTAAAAATGCTTTGGAGCTGCGATAACAGGGTGGTCATGGTGCTTCTTTATTTGCTCACCGCTTCAGCAACGCGTTCGCCTGTTGTGTTTAATTGAAGCACACGGTCTGGTTTGTTATCGGAAAACATCAAAACTCTTAAAGTTGTTGATGCTAGTTGCATGCATACCCTCTCCCATTTCACTGATCCTTGCGCCAGAACGCGAAAATTTTGCAGAGCCTTTCATGATTCACTCTATTCTGCGAATTTCAGCCCATAAAGCAACACACTTCCGCTCTGACTACCAAACGTCCAGCCCAAAGCATAATATATTCTTCGCATATGCTAAAGCAAACGGCAGGCTCTCAGAGCTATACCAGGTGTGCTGAGGCCAGCAAATTGATATAGCATAGCTCTGAAGTCTGTAGCGGTGACTATTCGTTGACAAAAGGAGCTGTTGACTATCACCATAGTCTTGATTCTTTTGTCTTTTTTATCCATTCCGAAAGTAGCAGTTGTGACAGTTTTCCTTAAGCGGCGATCGAATGAACGGACCTTGTCTCTTGGTCGATATTTGCGGTAGCCTTCACCTCTGGGCTGTGAAAGCTTTGTCTCTACCCCCAGAAACATTTATTCCGTCATTGTCTTTCAGCCAATCTTGCCGCAAGAACGGTATCTCACAGGAAGCTACATTCTTGCATTTGCATATAGTATAAACTGTCGAGCAGGCCAGCACCAAATTGTCTTCTTTTTGGGCAGCAGGGCTCAATTATCACGGCTAACATATCGCAGGCAATCTTCGTGCAATCCTGCGCCAATGGTGATCTCCGGATCCCCTATCATTTTGTTTAGTCTTCTAGGCAGTTTGTCCGCTTCTTTGCTTAACGTCTTGGCTTCCGGAACCTGTCCAAGATATTCGCAAAGCGAGACGCGAATTATACATGAGAGCTTGGAAAAGAGGCAGGGGGCTGAGTGGGTAGGTCTACAGAAGGAGCATGCCGGTGATAGTGCCGAGAAAGCAAAAAACGCAGGCAAGAATTGCTCTGTATTCTGGTCTAAAACGCTAGCGCTGGACAGAGGCGGATTATAAGTGATGAATAATCAGAAGCATGCGCAATGGAGTTGTGAATGTGGATTGCGGAGTGCAGTGGCAAAGACACCCTGTTCCTAAACAACGCCAAGACGTTACCGAAGAAATTGGTACTACAACCCTAATCCTTCTCTTTTTAGTAAACAAAAACAAACAACCGCTGCTGGACTTTGCCAGCAGTCTCACGGAGGGTGCAGAACAAAGTTCCGTTGGACAGGGAAAACATTTCGCAAGAGAAAGCCATACAGAGACACTGTGATGCAGCATTTTGATTGAGCGTTACGAGTACATAAAGAGACACTATACTGCAGCCACACCGAGACACTGCGATGCAGCAATTTGATTGAACGTTACGAGCAAACGAAGCGACACTATACTACAAGTCCCAGTCGAATTTTACAGACTCAAATATGGCCAAAGGACATTTGTGCTACAGGCTTAAATCAAAATGTAGCCCTCTCAGGAACGCCTGCCAGCATGTCCCCAAACGCGTCCTCCGGTGGGTTTAACGAAACGAGAAATGCGAACCAAAATGCCATCGAAACTACTGAATCAAGGCCTAGTCTTGTACAACGCGGAATGTCTAAACCTGGCTCGAAAACAGAAGCACTTCTGGAGACAACAGACAGTTTTGCAGAAGACGGCATGGTTCCTGAAGAGCACAGTGCACTACTACAGTGGAAAAAGAGGCGAGACCTTGCGAGATGGATTGCTGCCGAGAAATTAATAGATGCAGATGCAGATGAAGACCCACCTCCCGACCCTGCGGAGGAACGGCTTCTTGACCGATTGTCAGCTTCAGTGGTATCAGAGGATCCACCAATTGATTTTGGCCACGACCTACAGCTCTCCGTTCAGGAACGAGAGTATATGGACAGCCGAGTCAAAGAAGCGCTCAAGAAAATCCCAAGAGTGTCTCATGCTTCTCCTTCATTGGAAGGGCTGTTGTTTGCTGAGACGTTTGACAGGCCTGACGTGTTTGGCTCCTGGGTAATATCTTCAAGTTACACTCATCCGGGTGGGCACATGTTTTATCCTAGCCTTTGGGAAGCGCGTAGACGCAACTGTCAGTATACTCTTCTTCACAACTGGGTGACTGGTTGGGAACGTCTCCAAGCGGATGTTTAGCGTGAAGCAGAGATACCCATCACTCTGATGAAGCATCTCCCACTTGTGCTGGGTTGTTTTTACATCAACTTTGGAAAATCATATGTCAAGAAGCATCTCGTACGAATTCAGGCCTATTAACTATTTTCTTTGCGTGTCTCGGTAGGGCGTTGGCATCATCAACTACGATTCCCAGAGGCAATCGAAGGGGATCGTGGACTCATGACAGCTTCCCCCGTAAGATGGACACTGCCGCATCATCCAGTGGCAGCTTTTATAGGTTTTGGTTGAGAGCGGAAAGGTGAGCACGTTCTGAGATAACCTAACGTTTTGGCTGGTTTGTTGAGCGTGCGTCTTAGCTGGTATTGTGCTGTATACTGCTTGCGCACATGCTACTTTCAGGGTTTTCGGCATGCGATCAGCACTCTGTTGCCCACTACCGCCAGGCTGTCTTCAGGAAAACCCCTAGTGCTGCAATATGAGTTGCAGCAACAACACCCAGATTTCGGTTGCGGTGGAGGCTACCTGACGTTCTTTGCAGCGGATGCTCAGTCACATTGCAACTTCGATGAAAGCACTGCATATGCTTTACGCTTTGGAGCGGACCAATGCGGATACCGCCGGGAAATCGTCTTCAAGATCAGAAGAACCTGTTCCAAAACTAATAAGATGTAAACTATGCCTGCTGCATTAGTCACATTTTCGTGTTTTTCACGTGTTTATCCTCTAAACGAATGCTTGCAGTGAGAGCTGAATAGCTAGACTTCAGCAAATTTCTGCTCGCAGCATCCTGCACTCGCTGTACCCTCGGCTAGCGTTGCCTTTTAGCGAGAAAAGTCGCCTGCTCACTTTGATTATAAAGCCCGATGGAGCGTTTACGATTCTTCTAGATGGACGGATCGTCCGCAAGGTGAACGAGAAAGCCCAGACGGATTCATTGAGTCACAACCCAGCCCGAAGGAATTTTAGCATATGCAAATATTTGGTTGTGCTCTCTGCTGCATTCTCTAGGGGATCCTCTTTGAAAACATGAACCCGCCGTGGCCTCGACCAAGCTCGTCAGTCCATGTAAATGCGAATACACATGAATAGTAAAGTACTAGTTGACCCGGCACTGCAATGTTTACTTGTTGGCTCCAAACTATAGCTGCATGTAACAGCCGCCTAGCCAAGTGCGCCGAACCTCAGTGAATTTCTGCTCCCGTCGACGCTGAACTCAGGACCTAACGAAGGAGTTCCCTAGCTTTAATGCAGTCGGTCTGGCATTTATGGCGATGGATAGTGGGACACTCATAGACAACATTGTGGTGAGCGACGATATAGCAGCAGTCCAACGATTTTCAAGAGCGACTTTTTGGGTGAGCCTGCCTGGCACAGTGGTTGTCTTCATACTTGATCGAGCACAGTCACGCCGCACGCCGATTCGCAGAAGTGACTAAGCAACAGAAGTATACCCAAGGCGCAACAGGCATAGGTTACATGTTAAGTTTTGGAACAGGTCCTGCTGATTTTGAAGGCAATCCTAGAATGAATCGGCAAAGAGCACATACCTTAGAACTGCATTCTAGTGTTCTCAACCGCAGCGCACATATTGTTAGCAACGTCGTGTACCTCAACAGTTCACTACAGGAGCTTCCTCCAGAGTAGCATAGTGTCCCACGGCAGCGATAATGAGGGTGGGTAACGCCTGTGTAAACGACGGTAAATCACTCCTCATTTCTCAGAAGAAATTTCTACGATGAGTCGCTTTTGTGGTAGCGCTTTTGTGCGCATTTAGCGAAGGACGCAAGTGGAACACATGTTAGCGGCGACTGCCCTGAGGACGCGGAGCGCCGTTCGACAAGAAATCCGCTCTAAGCGGCACGAATCCAAGTTGCTCAGCACGGTAGATAACTCTTATGGAGCTTCATACTTTCCAACGGACTCTTCAGGAGAGACTGAACGAATCCTGGGACAATATAACTCAGGTGCCCATAAACTTGAAAAGCTTTGGTCGGCCACACCAATTAAGCGTAGCTGGAAACAATTCGACGTTTGTTCTGGAGCTGCTCGGTCTAAGGAGACTGATAACAAACCGAAGTGCAGGACCTCTAGTTGGTCGTGGGCAGGCGATGCTGAAGCGGACACCATACTGGATACCTTGCTACTTCTCAGCATTTTTGCCGCTGGGTAGGCGCTCTAGCTTGACTACTATCCTTGATTCTATCTCGAGGTACAAGTGGCTTGTACGTCAACTGATGAATGAAGCATGCTGTAGCTTTTTCCGCTTCAAGGCCCTTCAAAGTAGTTTTTCTGGCTATGGCTGAATGGCCTACCTACAAATGCGGCCGTTGCCTTTGCGTAGGTTTGGAGTGGCGTGGAGATGTATCCGAACCTCGACACTCCAGTAGAAGACCATGAAATTGCTTTTTTCCAACACACTAGTTCTGGAAACTTCTTAGAATTAATATTGGTGACTCCAGCATATATGCATTTCTTCGTTGAATAACTCAGATTCACCCCTGATTTGCAAGCGTCCTAAGGGAATTTCCTTCATTACGCTGTCACAAGCGATGCAGATGAGTTGTGAGCTGATGAGACTGTACAATATATTTGCTAATGCCTGCCTGCGCCCAGTCGTGGGCTTGTACATTGCTGCCCCTTCATGTTTTTAGGGGGAACGGCACGGCTTCTACGAGCTTAGCTTCTTGAGACCTTTTTCAACGTAGATCCTGAGCCTGGGTGACGAATCGCCCGTCAGGGAAAAAGCGAATGGCACCAGATGGCGCTGCTTCTTTTTTTTGCTGGTGCTGCCGGCATCATGCTCCTGCGGCAACTCGGGCAGCAGCGTGACTGCAGACCATGACCGCGCTCCTTCCTTTGAGCCTCGGTTAGAAGCCAACTATACTGAGGGCACTGCAGCCCAATAAAACGTGCAGTGAACCGCTTTTGTCACACAATATGAATGAGTGCGTGCATTCTGGATCTGGTCAGGCCAGAAAACGGGCCCAGCCCCAAATTACAGAAAACGTGGAAGTGTTGAGAGCGGCAGTGTCCAACTTGCCGTCAAGACACGCGGAGGAGAACGTAACAGTGGAAGATTAATTAGTACCGAAGAGCACATATTTACAATCCAACGCTGCACGTGGCAGAAAAGCCACCAGTAACAGCCAACCTTTGCGCTGCTCTTTGCATGCCGGAGCGTGTAGTTGCCATCGCTGACTCGAAACAAGTTAGTTGATATTCTTCAGGAATCCCTTACTGGAAGTGATCCTCAGAAACCACTCCGGCCGTCGGCCGACTGACCGCGTGACAAAGTATTTTTATTTTATGTGCCCGCTGCACGTCGTTCCATGTGTGAACAGGATTTCAGTTTCCTCCAGTTGATCCTTCTCGCAATAACATTGATGCATTTGTAGAGGAGAATACGTCGACAAGTCGGTGATTCCCTGAGACCTTTTGAAAAGCTGGTATTAATGGTATGATGGCATCTACAGGCTGAGGCTAAATCTACAATGTAGGCCAAAGCATTTATCGACGACGAGCAGCGAAATGCCTTAGCCAATGCACGGTTTCCCTATTTATAGTCGGCGTAGTTTATGGTAGAGACTACGCGCTTTGTATAGTTTGCGATTCTACTAAACCGGAATCGGGGGCTTGTGCTGCGCTGCACACGCCGTCCAACTCCGTAGTAGACAACGGTGCTTCGGTGTAAACCAAAGAGGCCGGAAAGAATCCGGTCCTACAGCGCTGTAATATCCTAAGCCAAACCTGCGTGAGGGCGGAAATCAATCCACGCTGATGAATATTTCGCTGGGTGTAGATTCGCACATACGGCACGCACGTACGGTTGGTGTTGTGTTCAACTTGGCCGTCTGTATCCGAGTAGTTTACGGTGGGTGTGTGATCACGTTTATGCTTGATTGAACAGTGCTGTGATTTCGGGAAAGGCAGACACTAACGGAGATTTGGGGGTGCTGTCAGCATTAACGCCTTTGAAGAAACGGTTGAGCTCCCAGACCTCACTAATGAACAATCGAGCTGCGCCTCCTCGTGCAGTGGAAGTCGAGGAGGGGCTGAATTTGGCATATATGGTGGGCGTATGCGCAAATGCTGTCGCTGAAGATAAATCCACTATCAAGGTCCTTGAGATATTCTCCCAGATGCGATTTAGAACATGGAGTATCTAAGGGGGACCATCTCTGAGAGCTTCCGGTGGCGTAAGCTGCTGATATTCGAGGCACGTAAGGAGACATTCATTCCCTGAGGTGAGGTAGGTCTCTGGGCACCGCTAAGGCGTGACCGTGCATTTGCGCAAAAAATCCCTTCGAAGCGAGGGTGCGGTGTTTGACTGACGCAGCTCGCGCTTCGTCTAGTGCCATAAAAGATTGCCGTCTATGCCGCAGTGTGCACCCCGTCGAGTAGAGCACTCGCAATGTAGATATTACCGCCCGGCAGAATCAGGCAGTTATAATGCCCCTTATAGGCACCACTGACCCATTGTAGCCTAGTGAAAGAGCGCCTTGTCAGAAGACTGGCATTAACTTTGGCAGGCCGCCGGTGGTATAAGTCCAATTTTCGGATTCATACACGAGCAAGAGTGACTCAATCAAGAAGCAGCTCCAACTATTCGAGAGTTACAGATGACGAGTAGCAGTAGGTAATGGCGTGTGTACATAGATGACGAGTAGCAGTAGGTAATGGCGTGTGTACATATGTAGAAAACCCACTGCATTGGAGTCCGAACAAGTGTTTGACGACCAGCTGCAGCTGCTGTGGAAAGCAGAAATGGTGGTCGAAGCACGTTGTTGCGAATTCAATTCATTTCCAACGCGCTGTCGTGTGGCATTTAACAAAAACATTCTGGAGCTAGTCTAGCAAATGGAACCGACAAAGTTGTCTGGTGTAGTACAGCAGTGACAGTTTCCCTAACGAAAACTAGATGACCACCGAAGATAGGTTATAGACGCTTCTGGAATGCCATCAAAAACCAATCAACGGGCGGTACAGCCCCACTGACGCGATATGTTTCAGAGCTGCAGATGCAGGACCAGAGACTCTTTGGCATGTCTGCAGCTCTGAAACGCCATTCGGTCTGAGCTTGGGCGAGTTTCTGAAACCAGCACTGCTCGCAAAATATTAAGCTCCTTGGCGGTACGTCTTCTGAACGGACCCTCTAAGTTGCAGTAAGTTGAAACTCGAGCACTTTAGGCGCATATCTTCAACACAAGAGGTGATGAGCGACACACTTGTAGCCAGCTCTAACAGTAGAGGCCCCTCTTGCATGCACGCTAAAATACAAATTGGCAATAGAGTCAGAAGAAGATAGTGTTGTGGCGGAGTAAGGCGTCAGGAACTGTGGTAACTTCTAAACGGAGATGAGGAACGGCAGACCAGGTAGCCGAAAAAAAGCAAATTGTACGAAACTTTACAACGAGGCAGTTATAGCGGCTGGCCGTGAGGTGGTGAATATTATGTGGCAAACCACTTATCTTCGTTGCTAAATTCCCTCCAGTACTCAGGTGCTTGAGCGAACAACAAATCTTTCAACACCCATCTAATGAACACTGGCACTGTGGGCTCGCCGGGAATTGGCATTACTCAGATGAGCTAGCTACAGGGAGCCACAACTGCCAGTTTCTGAGACCCCTTCGAAATGGATTCTGAGTGCTATCAGAGCTTAATAGCCACGATGGGGACGAATTCAAGGCGTACGACGTAAATATAGAGGATTTGTTCGTCGGTTTCTGGCAGGCCCCCCCAGAGGCAGAGCTGCTGATGCAGTAGTGCGTACGCTACTTTTTACGAATCTCATAATCCCAGCCACATGATAATCTGGAATCGCCCCTACGACCTTCGTGAGAATGAAAACTCTGCGCAGCTTTGTGCTTCTATCTAGCAACATTGAAGTCGAATGTCGCTTCACGGGCAAATGTCCCGTCCCGAGACACGGGTGTCTACCTGCTCTTCCATTTCTAAGTATGCTTAAGCGTTCAAGCCTCCCGTCGTAATTAGAGACAGCCAAGGACGGAAAAGAATTTTTAAATGTAGAAAAAGCCTATTTGTGCCACTGTTGCTGTGAGTTGCCGGACTTCTGTGCAGGCGAAGGATTTGGTGTCAGGGTGGTCGCACCGCTGGAAGTGGAGCCTACAAAATGGTACGCGAGTAACTTCTTTCGGCGAAAGCCAGCAAGCACAGACGAACTTTCGATTTTATACGGTTTGGTTCTTGCCATCAGGCAACTGACTGAATACAAAAAGCTTTTCTTTTTCGGGACTTGCCTGCAGGCTGCGCGCAGAAAATCACAGGACGTCCGGATCCCAGGCAAAATTAACTGGCGCAAAGGGAAAACAATGCAAGTAATTGATGGGTGTACCTTATTTGAAACCGCATAAAGGAAACAAACTATCTTGTTGACTCAATAGATCATCACATTCCGTCTCATTGCCAGTTGCTCTTTGGTGGCGCATGCATCCTTTCTCCCTTCGTGCAACCCATTTTACCTTGAAAGTTCTGCTTTTCTCTACGTAGTTTTCCTTTGCGCCTGCAGTCAATCTTACAAAGCTGCTGAGCAACTGAAGCGGCGGAGCAGATATGCACCCTCTGCACCAATGGCGCATGTGCTGACCCCACATCACTCGACTGTGTAAAATGCTTGACAACTTCAAAGCTGCCAGCTCGTGTTGACTCCGGTTTTCTCTACCCGCATATTGATTATTTGTCCTTTAGGTGCCCAAAATACTCTAGCGGAATTTGATTTCCCATACGTCTAGCATCTGCTCAACTAACTCGAAAGTTCTGAAGTTTGGTCCACTTCTCCAAATGTCAACTGACGTAGCTCACTACCCGCTTGCGGCATCCGTGCCGCTGACATTCGGAGCATGCGCGAGTCTTTCTATCGTTGTATTTTGTGCTCTGCAAATAATTCTCCACCTAAGAAGTAACAGTGAACTGACTATGCTACATAGGGTGCATAGCTGTCTACGCGTGCTGATAGTAGCACAGACTGTGTTTGCGGCTGCAGCTGTCGTAGTTTTGTCAGTTGCTACTGAGGCAACCGGGCACGGCTCTGCCACGTTCGCCGGCCTTATCTCTGAACGCCAGGCTGCCAACGTCTTGAAGGTATCCGGCGCTACTCTGGTTGCTGGATACTCCTTCTTTGCAACCGAACATCAAGCGTTTAGGTGGGTCGCGCTTCTGGGTGCGGCGATAATGTCCGGCGTAGATGCCGTAGATATGGCAACCGTCGGGCAGCTAATAGGTTTGTTGCACTCAAGCAAGGGAGGCATTACTGGTGAAGATGATACAGCTCGAGGGCTTGCTCTGTGGGCACTGAAGGTGCAATATGCAGCAAAGGTGTTCTCTTTCTTCTCTTGGTTTCTCATGATGCAAGTCATTGGGTGTCTAATGCATGCGTTGGGGTGGTTCCACCTGAATGAGCTTCCAAATGATGAGGAGGTAGCAGGGCACTTGAAAGAGCTGGCGCGTGCTACGATCAACCGGCGTATTCAGGAAAAGCGGAACCCAGAGAGATTTGCCGCAGGCGGTGGAAGGCATCTCTTCAACCCAGTCGACAAATTGGAGGTAACGTGGGATCAAATGATAGATCTGACAGTTGGTCGAGAGAACCGCACAAGTCATCCAATCTCTACAAACCGTAGGGGAGAAATACCACCGGAAGTCCAAAGGGAGCTCCGTCAGATCCTGTTAAAGATGGGTGTCAAAAGAAGCCAAATATATGAGGTACTTGATAACGAAGATGATTCTTGACAGTGCTTGACGGGATATCGAAGATGCAGCAATATCCGGTATACGCTTTCATATGAATGTTAAAGAATATCATTGAAGTCAAGCATCTCGGCCTCCCCTGTTGGACGAGGGCGTCATTGAGACCAGTCCTCATCCAACACCCGTAGCAGCCGTCTATACAAGGACTCCAAATTCCTTTCAAAACGCAGTTGAATCTTCACGGAAGTTCTCCGCAAGATGCACGCATCAGTAACCTTACTTCTTCCTACGGTGCACACCCGCCTCCCCCAGGGAGTCTGCTCGTCTTTTTGGTGTTTCAAAGGGCATAAAAGGAGTAGCGGGCTGTCGTGCATTGCAGCTCCAAACGTCCAGAAATGCCGCAAAAAAGACAGGCGCCCAATTATTGACCTTCATGATTCGACAGTCATCCGCAATACATCGTAAATACTGTTATCATCAGCTGGGGCCACTACCCTATGGAGCTTTTGAGATGGGGTCTTTGAAAGACCCTTGAACATCCAAACATCTTGCCTGCTACACAAAATATTACAGAAAACGGTTCGGGTGATTTCACAGTGAGAACGCGTCAATTGTTTTCCTTTGTAATTTTGTCTTCTGCCTCCAACGAAACTTCGACGGTAAGTCTTAGGGAAGGTGTCAATGAACAGGATATTTCCAAGGCGATTCGCAACGACATGGAACTACTAAGAGGGCATCTGGGACTTTAATGAGCTCCCTTATCTGTTCATTCACGTAGTCTTCTATCTCGTTCTCTTTAAACCATGCTTAGGAAAGTTCCTCTCATCAGTATGACAACTGCACGAGTTTGCGGACATTTGAATCCCTACCCAATCTGGGACTGGACCTCACAATCAACAGTGGGTGCGGTGGATGTAGCCGGTGGCTCGCTGTCACATTACTTTCCAGCGCTTGATCCCGCAAGGACAACCCAATCAAGGGACAACTTCCACGAATAAGAGTTCGGCGGGAACCCGGTCCATCCCTTCCTGTCTTCATGGAGGGTGTAAAATAGGTGAAACCGCGGAAGAAGTGCAGGCGAGAATTGTTGGTGATGAGCGAACCCTCAACCCTTCCGCCTCGCCCTTACTTTAGCATAAGATATATTAGAAATTCTCTTTTAAGGAACCGATAACTTTGTCAAACCCCGCTTATTGCCCTACCCAGGCCCTATGGGGTCTTCGCTCCAGACTACCTTGGTCTGGCGACCAACACATACCTCCTAGCCTAAAGTCGCAAACACTAAACTCGTGAAAGGCTGGAATTCACCACTTTCGTAGATACGATAACAACCCAGAAGGCCAATGTTAGGAATCGTTCCCTCAAAAAGTAGCTATACCCTTTCTTTGGCCACGTTGCTACCTTATGGACGCGTTCCGGTTTGTATGACACATCTGCCAGGCTTGTAGTTGAAACCATGACGGCAGTACAGGCTCACTAGATTTTTCATGCCCTGAAGGCCCAATACTCAGGGGACCCGTGAGACGGTGAGAGACGATAAAGCCTCCAGAAACGATCCCAGAAATAAATGTTCTTCTCGTTCATGCAGGTGTCCTCATCACCAGCAGCCGAACATCCTGCGGACTACGGGGAAACGACTTCTGCCTAGAAAGGCTTGCAGCACATTCTGCTTCAATCCCGCCTGTACAAGCTGTATCAGCCTCTGCAGTTTCGAGCCGCGCTATGTTTTTACGTGCAAAGTAACGAGTTATATAGTTTTTTTTATTTAGTGTGGCATTGAGTGTATAGCGGACCCGATGTTTGGAGTGGCATTTTAACTTGCAGCGTCATGCATGCTCTGATGCATTGGCCCCCCTCTCTCGGTCCTAGCAGCTACCAGAGAATTGCGTACGTATCGACAACTGAGGGGAGGGAAGAACAAAACGGAGTCTTCAGGGAGTTATCTGAGGGGAGCAACACCTCTACACTGAGTAACAAAATTAGGTGTGAACGTGCAGCGGGTGTTGCACTCAAGTGCAACAGAAGCTACTCCCGGCCAGAGGTAATCCCCCGCAGTGGCTGGGGAATATATCGGAAAGTTGTTGCAGCTGCACCGCCTACAGGAATAAAATGCAAACGGTAACAGCCAAGGACTGATTTAAGCTGCTGGCTGAAATGTGCGTGCATCCTGAAAGTTCGGAAGATCAGTCCAACACCATGCGCAGTGTGATTCTAGTTAGCTAGACCCCTATGCACTACCACGATTTTTTCCAAACATGTAGTTAACACTGAGACAATATGCCTGCGTGCCAATCGTTAATTGATGCCCCTTGACTCAGGCCCCCCCACTTGCTGTAGGGGGGCCTGAATATTTCGCCGTTACCATTGTTGGTGCCGCATGCCCCACTCCTTGAGGCCTTGGCTTTGCGGTTTCGTAGCTCTTGGGGAAGCGCTCTAGGTCTTAAAGTATGCGGGATGCTATCTCACACCAGACGTATATCCTCCGTTCTGTACATCCTGCTGGATTTCTCCCTGCCGGATTCTCCGGCCGTTGCCATGTTGGCTTTCCTTCTGTCCCTCTGCACAGTTAGTGCTTACAGCATCAAAGCTAATATGCCAATATTCGGCGGTCCTTTTGCTTTTTGGCAAACCACTTCGGTAGAGCCTGCGATTTAAGGCTGGCGGCTTAGGGTTTTAGGGTTTAGGGTTCAGAGCCTACGATATGCTTTTTTGGGTTTTTGGTTTAGGGCATATGGTTCGCGGTTTTTGGTTTAGGGTCTATGGCTACGGATAAGGGTTTGTGATTCAGGGTTTTAGGGCTTATGTTCTGGAGAAAGATTCGATCGATGCAAAGTAGAGCGTTCCTGCCGCCGCAGGGCATTTGTGATCAAAGGCATGGTGCAACTCTCTGTTGTTGACTTCCCCTGCTGAACACTTCCTATTCACTCCATGCCTTTCCTCTGCAAACCAAGTATTTCGAAGGACTTACTCATGGCCAAGCAGAGGGACGGTATTTCGGTGTGTATGCTTCCCTTGAAAAGTATATTAATACTATAGCGTTTATCAGGTCTAATTGCTTCCCTTGTTCTGCAGAGGGAAACTACCAAATTAATAATAATAAAAAATTTCCGGAG